TTTTTTTTCCTTGTTTTTATTGCTTTCCCCTTCCCCGAGGTCTGCGAGCGCCGCTTCGCTGGCCCGGCCGGCCCCAGGGACTCGGCGGCCGGGAGGCGCCGCTTGGCGCGGTGGGGACGCAACACACGCGAGCGGCAAACGCGCACCCGCCGGTCAGAGACTCCTCGGAGGACAAAGTAGGTGGGAGGAGAGAGAAAAGAGAGTTAAAAAAAAAATCACAAAAAAGAGAGGAAAAAAAAAAAAGAAAGGAAACGATCTCTAAATTATGTTAATCTGTGAACATTGGGGACACTTCGGATTTTTGACCCTGGCAAAAGTGATCGCTCCGGCATAACGTCATCTGCTGCTGTCAGTTTTGCTACCTTGTGCATGTGTCAAACTAAACACGTTTTGAAGATCAGAAATATATTAGAACAAAACTAAACAAAACAAATAGTAATAATAATAAATAATAAATCCTTGGGGCTGGTCTCCATTAAAGATGACATTTCTTTGTTGCCAACAGTATTATTTCACTGCCATGAATCTCTTCCATCACTGAGGAGCTGCTGCTGCTGCAGAACTGGTTTGAATTTAAATGTGGAATTTCAGATCTGAGGCAAGGCAGGTTTTTATTTTCCTTCTTTTCTTTCCTAAAAGAAAAAAAAAAAGGAGCAGCAATAACAAAAAAGTGTGTCTCAAATGGCTATGTCCTTTGAAAGGAGAAAAAAAAGAGAGACTAGAATTTACTAATTGTTGGTGATAACTTGAAAGATGGGAACAATAAGAAATGCACCTGTTTTGCCAGAATTACCTGAACTCAAAGAGATGTATTGTGCCATAGAAACAGATCAATTTTTCATTTTTTTCCCCCAAATGCCTAGATCTTTAAATCAGAATCTCACTGTTTTACAGGATGTAGAAAGAATGAATTATACAACAAAGATGGACATATGGTTTTAAGGCATAATACTGATGCAGCATTAATTTTCGTGAAATGCAATTAAGTGCAGTAAAGTGCAATACTGTAAATATTATAGAATAAAAAAAATAGCCGTACTTATTCCGTTATTAACCAATTCTGCAAGATCCATAACTTAAATCCTTTATGCTCAGACTGGTGCATTGCAGCTCCTTGCCAAAATGACAGTCCGAGTTTTCTAGGAATGGATAAAGTTATATGTATCACATATGGGAAAAGGTAGATACTATAATTTCTAGTCAACTTAATGTGCCATATTTCTGGGAAGCAAGCTGAAAAGTCTGTAGGACACTTTTACATCGTTTTAAGTAAAAAACAAAACAACCACAAACCCAAATAAATTAAAACAACCCATAGAAGTATTCTGTAGAAGAGGACAAGTTCAATATTTGGCCATTTTAATTTTTGCCTGTGATTTGGACACCAAGTATTAAGCTAATGCTTAAGCAAAGTAATACTACAAATCCACCAAGGATGGAGTGTAAGGAAGTCCTTTAAATTATATTACCAAAGTTTACTGGGTTTACTGACCCTCCTCCCCAGTTTTACTTTTTTCTGTTATTCACTTCTAATTAGGTTTGGGGTTTTTAAAAAAAATTCTGCTGGGGTGGAGAGAGGAAGGTACAAGTAGTGGTCTTGTCTTCATCTAACAAGATAGTTATTTGTTGCCTTCGCTACCAAGGTCTGTGTTGATGGAGGGTTATCCTCTGAATAGCACCATTATTAGGCCTGCTTTTTATGTCTTGTTTAGCAATCCACTACTAGTTTTGGCTTTTGCTGATATTTATCAAATCCAAATATTACTGTAGGACAAAAATTTATGCTTAGGATAATTTTTAGAGACTTTTTTTCCTCTTTTTTTTTTTTCTCCTTCAGATGTTGATATTTTCTAAACTAAATTTCTGAAATATCAAAATCGTGCCATTTCCCTTCGATTTATTATGTGAGAAGAAGTTAATGTCTTGGATTTTCTGGGGCTGATAACGGTTACCTGCCTTTTTTACCTCACTGTGAAGGTTTTTAATGCAAGGCCAAAATAGTAAGGTAGAATTACTTGTTGCTGAGAAATACAGACCAAATTTCAGGCAATTAACAATTTATTATTGAAACAAAACATTGTCTGGAAAATAAAATGTTATCCATGATGATGTATGAAATTCTGGCTAGAATGAGAAATATTTGGAGTGGTTCTAGCACTTCTAAAATGCAGATCTGAAAAATAATAAACATTAGTACAAAGATGGTTTAGGTTAAAGTAAGTAACCTGTTGTACTGGACACCCACAGCCATGGAAGGGGAATTAGATACACAGTATTGAAGACCAAAGGCATAGAGCTATCCACTGAATGGCGACTGCTTCTTATCTGTCCCTCTAATCTAACTGCTAGCCTTTCAAATCCTCTTTTGAGAATTTGAGAAAGGTTTACATGATTATTTTGCAGTCCTGTACTGGATTTTCAGAAAGGAGTGATTTTAACCCTCAAATAGTTCCACGGAATGAACTTGTTGAAGTTGTAAGGTTGGGATATGAATTTTCTCAGACATCCAAGTGAGAGGCTGAGAAGTGCTACCGATCTCAAAGTGTTACAGGATACATATACAGTATGCATCCGCCTTGTATGGAAAGGAATAACTTTCTGCCTTTGTTATTCTACTAGATACAAACACAGCGAAAAACGCCTGTAGATTTCTCTCAGAAATTTTACTTCTTTATGGTATTCAAAACACAGTGATTACATGAATACAATTCCCTGCTAAGATGAAAAAGGCTGGTAGTGTAGCATACATGTTTCCAGAATGAAATATTCTTACTTTTTTCTGAGTGCTTTCAATGAATGTCTCACCTTTTTCTGAGTGCTTTCAATGAATGTCTCAAGGACAGTCTTGCTCTCTACCACAGAAGGGAAGAAGTTGGCAAGATTTATCAATTTAGCATGCTTTGAAGGGAGGTACCACAGGTTAGCCTGGGGAGAGGGTCAGGGTGTTACTGGGAATCAACCAAGGTGATTCATGCTGCTCTTGCTTTTCACGTGGCATGAAAGGAAATGAAAAGGTGCACTGTGTAGGGGTTATTGCCAAAACTGGTTCTGCTTTGCTTCATTGAAAGGGCCAATTGCATTAGTGGAGGTGTAAAAGCTTTGCCTTGTTTTGGATAATGCACGGAGGTGACCTCCTCTTCTTGTCATCGTTACATCATTGGGAAGAAATGAGGCACCTGGAAAAAAAAAAAGAAATGAGAAACCTGGCCTACCATGTGTTGGACTTTTCTCTTGGTGTAAGTCACTGTGGTTCCATTCACCATGTGGAGCTCTAGTCATCCATACAAGTTGAGGATTTCGACCAAAGCATCTACTTCATCTCTGTTAATGTGTGGTCTCTCTTTGTTTGTTAGTTTTGTTTTTAAATTGCTTTCTTAAGTAGTTGGAGGTTGAAGATAACATAGTCATGGTCCTGAGATGCTAATTAAAGTTTAAAAGTATCATAATTGTTTGAGATTCTCAGGATGCCAAGCCTCATTTACTGTCCACCATCATCCAGCCTGATCTTTGTGTAATCTTTGATTTGAGAAGTGTGAGATGCCCAAGATCATCAAAACAGCAGCCACTGAGCAGAATTTCCTTGGAGGAGGCCTTCATTTAGCATATGTGGATTGTTAAAAAATCTTTCTGAGAAGATTTGTCTGGTATTTGAAAAATAACTTGAATGAATGCCAAATGAATAATGACATTTATAAACAAGACTATAAAAAAGGCTTCATGCCTTAAATGGGCCTCTTCATAATGGAAAGAATAGATTCTGGGTTTTTTTTGAAACTGTCAAATAAGTTAAAGTACTTCATTCATTTGTACCAAAATAGCCAGTTGACTACATGGCTTATTTTTATTGACTTGGAAATATGTGAAAAAAATTATGCTGAAAGTTTTTTTGCTTCATAGGGTCATATAGATGTAGTGACATTTTGGTTAATATCATAATATTTAGCACTTACATAATGTTCATTTGCAAAGCACTGTATAAATGTCTATTATTTAATCCTCACCCACTATGAACTAGTTAAGAATTATTGTCCCAATTTTTGTAGAAATTAGGGCATATAAATGAAGAGCCAGGTTCCACCACTCATTGTCAGCACTGAGTATGATTACTTTTGTTTTTGTAATGTAGCAGCATCCCCCAGATCATAATCTGACATGAGCTTTGTGGTGGTAGACAACCTTTTAGATAGCCAGAACTTGAAATTTAAGCTCTGTATCTGACTTCAGCAAAAGTTTTAAAGGTCACATTGAATGCTTTTTGGAGTGTCAGAATGTGCCTGTGAGTTATTTCCACAGAACATGAAGTTATTGTCCAATTCTCCGACCCTGTATGTCAGTGGGAATTTTGTTTATGACTCAATGGGGCTGAGTTGTGTCAGTGCTAAGACTAAAACCAAATTTCCAAGTTCCCAACAGCATGCACAAATTGCTAGGAAACTCTGATTTCCAACTTCCCCTACTATAAATTTTTCACACAGACCAAGTGTACAGATGTCAGTTCTTTGCATGCTTTATCTGCTATGTATTTTAGTCCTATGTTTGCCTATAAAATAATAATAAGACATGATTTTGAATTGACATAACATTGACACATTGGGACTGTTGGCTCAAATCAAATAGACATGTAGTAGTACAGAAATCCAGATCCCTAAGGCAAACCCAGATTATGGATTTATTTATTTCTTTGTGACAAGAAATACGCATGTTTTCTGCTTGTTTAAATGTGCTAGGCAAAATATTTTTTTTTTTTTGAAACAGATAATTTTAGTTTTCGGAGGCATTATTGCTTTGGAGATGGCAGGCTT